CACTGTCTGTAAAAACTGTTCCTACGATCATCACCAACACCCAGTAAACAGTGTGGACGAAGAGCAGCGAAGAGAACAGGCTCAATTCCGAAAGAGCTGCAGAACAACGGACAACAGCTTTAACTTAACTCGTTTAACTCATCGACCTCGCGAAGGACACGGAAGCCAGTCGTTGACTACGAGAAAGCGCTCGACACTGTCGAATACGACGCACTGTGGACTGCACTGGCGGAATGGGGCATACACATTTGCTACATGAACCTGTTAAAGGAACCGAATTCTGGCTGCATCACAAACAACACGCTGTTCGGCACCTCAGTGCAGATTCCCACGAAGAAGGGCTTGAAACAAGGCCACACCGTCTGACTCAAACTGTTCGCTGCCTGCTCGGAAATGCTGTTCCGGAAAATGAACTGGAAAGATTGATGTCAATGATAAACATCTTAGCCACCAAAGGTTCTCTGATGACGTGGTGTAGTTTGCGAAGAAGACATGCTGCAAGAGCTCGAGAGAAATCGTGCAGAAGCCGGACCGCGAATCAACCGGTCAAGACACTGCAATGGAAAGCCATGCGGAAGACGCAAGTACCATTAAACTGAGAAAAGGTCGAAGTTGATAAATAGATCTGCCTCAGACAAGAGACAGATATGCGACGTGATCAGGCTAGAGAGATTCAACGGAGAAAGAGGGCCGCTTGGCGCCTGTTCTACTCCATCAAGGACGTTCTCTTCAGCAACATCGGGAAAGACTTCCCTCACCCACATATTAAACTATGTCTTCCTATACCCAGCGTTGCTGTATGGCTGTAAGATGTGGTCACTTACTGAACCAAAGAGAGTCAGTTGTCTGTTACCGAGAAAGGCCTGGAAAAAATGTTGTTAATCTCACTTCGTCACCACATCCCCAACGCGTTGATATGACCCAGCGGACGAAAGCGAAAGACGTCGCCATCTAATGCAGACAGGAGAAGCTACGGTAGGCCGGACACAAGAAACGAGATTCTAACCACAACTGCTCACCCACTTAACACTCGGAATCACCCTCGTTCCAAGAAATCGAGAACAAGTTTCGACCTCCCTCTGACCAGATGAAAAAATAGAAATAAATACTTAGTGGCTTCTCAGCACTGTGAACATTACTCAGTTGCACCACAATCTGTGGCGAGGTCGTCTTAAACGGTTCTAGAGCCAAAACTGATCGTAGAATTCTGAAGACGTGTCCGTTGCACGAGGACTTACTGAAAAGCAGGAAAGGCTACTTGCTGGTTATAGTTAATAAATCTGAAATTTTAATATGAGAGACATCCGGCAGTCAGGCGTCCTAGTTCAAATGAATCTTGCTACAATTAAACCAAGACACTGAAAACTGAGAAATGGGCGGTTCACGGGGAAGTCATTCGACTCCGGAATGAAAATGCTTCTGCCCCACCTCAATTCACCTCAGTGCATTACCAGTGACATGGTTTGCTACGCTAGGTTAGGCGAGACGTCGAACGCACAGCGATCGCGAATCGGCGTCCACTGTGTGATGGAGTCGACGATGTTCGGGGAGAGAAAGAAACAGCGGATGAATGATGGTGGCCACGAGTAACGAGTAACCTCGCTTGTGGTGGTCGACGGCGTGGAACACGAGAAGTGATGTGTGGTGTGAAACGCGACCGTACGCATTGCGGCAGCGGCATTGGCTTACATGCGAACGAGACGGCACAGCGCCGGCGACGACGACGAGCACGAGGACAAGGACGAGGACGAGGAGGAGGACGAGGACGAAGAGGCGGCGACGTTGCTGCAGTAGACGGTCCCATCGCGAAGAAACGACAGCAGAGAACTTCGTCCGGAGTTGTGTGCCGGGGACACCAAGCTGTACGAGCCGCCCATCCGATCGGTAACCGCTCTACCATGTATTTCCTTTTCGTCGGCGCGGTGGGAACGACGACGAAGCCTCGCCTCTCATTGGAGAAAGAGCGCAAGGTTCATGTGAGGTCCATAAGCTTACTAACGACGACAAAGCTCGTCGACTGCTGTTGCGGCTGTTGTTAGAAACGCCTCCTGCCGCATAAGGCTCCGGCACCGGCTCCGGCTCCGGCTCGTCCTCGACTTCGGCAGTGACGGAGGCGCAGATGCAACGTTTCATTCGTCGGTCGATGGC